TAAGCTTTCGTGGGTGAATACCCACTTTGTCAGATGCATGTATTCACCCACGAAAGCTTATGCTCCAATACTTCTGTTAGTCTATAAGGTGCCACAGGACACTCTGTCGCTTTTGATGATTACCTGTTCTGTTCATTCCCTCTGGGGCACCTGGCACTGTCCACTGTCAGAAGACAGGTTATTGGGCTAGATGGACCTTTGGTCTGACCCAGTAGGGCCATTCTTGTGTTCTAAGAAGTGTGGTTTTGAAACTAGTAGGAGCTACACTTTCCTAGCATCTGAAAGTAAGGCTCATAATCTCATAAAAAGAAAGTATTCTATATGTAGTATAACTCAGCCCCTTGGTTTAAGCTGATTTTTACCCCCCCCCCCCCAAAAAAAATTCCAGCTTTTACTAAAAGTATTATTTGGGTTTTCACCCTACATTTGTATCATTCATGTATATAAAATATAACTTGATTTATTAGGAAAATACAATACATTGCATGAGATGTATGTATTACGATAATACATTAGTTTCTGTGTGTGTATATGCAAAGGTGCCTGTTGAAGTAAGGTTATGTATTAGTCTAGAAGATGCACACAATAAATGAACAGGCACGCATTCAAGCTCCTGAAGTGCGTATGCATCTGAACGTACTAATGAATCTCACGCCCACCATGTATACATTTCAAGCTGTTAGCAGATAACAGTTTAAAGCTGTGACATACTAAAATGGGGAAAATATGTATCAGAATACATTTCAGAGCACAAGGAAGTATTCAAGTTTAAAAAAAAAGGGTGGGGGAAGAAAAGGATGACGTTGAGTGTATGCGCTGCAAATGGTGTGGCCCAATTACTAAAGTAAATATTTATAGGCTAATAGTTCTAAGTCTACAACAGTAAACTGTTTATTCAAATTAAAAGTTTTATTTTGGGATTAGAGATATATTATTTTTTTAAACTCACAGTTGGCGTTGTGTTTTGTGTTCTGTTTTAGTTCTGTAGCAAACTACATTGAGTTCCATTCATCAAAGCATTAATCTACTGAATACTTCCCCCCGTCCTTCTGTCCACCAAAATCAACCCTGATATTTGCCCAGAAAAATTAAATTTTTTCCTCCAGTTTTCACCTGTTTTTGTAGTTGTGTTAGTAAACACAGATACATTCCTGGGAAAAATAAAATAATTGAAAACGAAGTATAGCATGAGAATAATATGGTGAGCAATTTAAAAACTGCTGTTTCTAAATGTAAGTTTAACTGGATTGCCGTTTAGATGGAGTAGAAAATTGAGCTAATTATTAATGGAGAGCATAAATGCATTTCTCATTTGATCCGCTGCTTTGAAGTCATAATTAATAGGTATTGGTGTCCGAATCGAGCTAATGGAGACAGTCTTTTGTTTCTGAAACCTCTCTGCTGGCACACTTGCTGAACTGACTACACCTTCCTTCCAGTATGTCTGCCTGCACTGAGGATAATAGATGTTTTCTCTTTGGCTCTCTGAGATCCTTTTACAAGGGAGTTGTCTGGGAAACCAGTTTTCCCTTTATTTTTTCCACTTTAGCAGAATATAGTGCTAGAAATGACTCCGTGATCACCAGAGATTACTAGTAATCCAAAAACTTCCTCTGAGAATTTGGTGCTCATTCTGCCAGAGATATGTAACATAGTGGAGGGAGAAACATAAGTCCTCTCTGGAAAAAATCCTGCAACACTGTGATTTAGTCAATATATTCTTTCTGAAATAGAAAAAGTGAACTGCTTTCTTCAGATAGCAGTTCTTGGGCAACAGATCTGTTGGTTGTCCATGCTTTTCAGAATAAAGATGTACATTAAAAAAAAAATTTGTGTTAGAGAAAATTATTCCTTCTGCATGTGGAAATCTTGAGTTCAAAGACTATTGAATAGTCTCCATTGTATCTTCCTATTCTGTTTAATTCTAATTTCTGACATAGTTACGCAGTGGTTGCTTTTGTCACTGAGTCATAGATTTTAAGGACAGAAGGAAGCATTATGATCATCTAGTCTGACTTTCAGTATTTAAAAAAAACAGACCAGAGAACTTTCACCTATTGATTCCTGCATGCAGCCCCATAGCTTTAAGCTGAGCTATAACGTGTCCTACAACCATTTCTGTCATTGTGATACCCTTTGCGCTGGTACTCCTATTACTTTCCCTGTATGGTGGTTGAGTGATAAAGAATGTTTGTTACTTCTTATGAATTAGGACTTCTGTCTAGGACAGTGAATCCAATAGAGGAGGAAAAAAAAGATTTCTTACTTGTAATTTTGCCTCCCTACTATGACTCTAATTCTGAGGACATACTTTTCCTATATTTATCAACTAGTTTTTGTTTAGGCAGGTGAAGAAGCGATGTCGGATGTCAAATATTGCAATAGTGACATCTGTATAATGGTGGCTTATTTTCTGTACTTCCAAATTATAATAGCTTTTGTAGTTTTTTGTGTCTTCTCAGCTTTGGAAGGATTTGGGGAAGGTCAGCAAGTGTGTTCGTGTGGGGAAGTTTCAGATTTCAATTCCAAAAATTCCTTTTGCCACGATTGAGTGGGATTGAACACTGAATTACCTTCTGTTTGGAGCAGTGGATTCTTATTAGGAATTAATAAAATTAAGGGTAACTAACTCTGTTTATTCTGTAGATAAACAGTGGTGGGGGTTGTATTAGCCTTGTTTGGAAAACAGCAGGAGTGGTTGATTAAGAACTTGTTTAATTTTTTGACAAGACGTTGAAAAATTTTGATTGGCTATAGTGCATGTAGGCAACATTTTAAATAGAAACACAAACTGTTTGATTAAAGGCCACACAACATTTTGAAAGATCGTTAAAAAGAGTTGTTACTTTTACAAAGTTATGTTTCTACTGTAGCGGGGCAAGTCGTGAATCAGATGAATCAGAGACTTCAGACAGGCTTTACTGAGCCAGAAGTACTGAGGATATTTTGTGACACCTGTGAAGCTGTTGCCAGGTTGCATCACTGCAAAACGCCAATAGTTCACCGGGACCTGAAGGTAAGAGTTCCTGTAAAAGGTAATGAGCTGAATGTTTGCTGCTACTGAGCAGCTGTCAAAAGATGACTTGTAATGTGGAAGACATCGCATAGTGTGCAAAAGCTGCCCACTTATATGGGAGGAGGGGAACAGAGTCTGTCTACAGAACTGTACCCAGAAGATTAAATGAAAAATGGTAGGTAGGTTAGGCATCACATTCTTGTAGAATAGATTTTGGCACTACTGATGACCTAATGAGATGATGATGAAGTTATAGTTTTACTATTAATGCTAAATTTCTTTTGAATTTTAAGAATATTAGTACATGGCAGGCTTGTCATCTCTAACTGAAAATTAGAGGGAAGACTTAGCTGCTTTCTATAAAATTGGACACTACCCTGTTTTTTCATTTTTCAGTTTGTCAGTTTATCTGATTGTTTCATTTTTCCTTTTAAGGTAGAGAATATTTTGTTGAATGACAATGGAAACTATGTCCTTTGTGACTTTGGCAGTGCCACTAACAAATTCCTTAATCCTCAGAAAGATGGTGTTAATGTAGTTGAAGAAGAAATTAAAAAGTAAGTTCATTTAAATGACTATTCGTAAGCACTAATTAATTTTCTTAGCAGCACAGAATGTATTACATGTTATATACATTAATGGAAACATAAGGGCCTAGCTAGGAACAAATTAGTGTTCGAGGTGGTTGATTTAAGTGCACAACTCCTGTTAACAGTAATGTTTTTTTCACTTCCTTAGTGATGATCGGGGCTATGCCAATACCTAAAATAGGCATAGCAAGATAGTAGGAATACCTGGTAATGTTGATGCTATTTCAGTTACCCTACAGACAATTCCTGCAAAATTTAAAGTGAATGTACTAACAATCGAGTGTAATTACAGAAAGTTTGATGCCTCCAGGTAATACATTTCCACTTAGAATATATGCAACCTTATGTTACTTTTACTGTCTCAGCTCTTTCCCCCTAATAACCTGCTGTGTTCTGAGCCTCACTATTCCTGTTTAGGCCCCTGACCTGCAATTTACAGCATACAAGAGAACTATTGTACCAACACATTGTTAATTGCAGAATGGTGAGAGCTTAGATTCAGAGTTATTTGAAGTGCCAGTTTCTTAGCACAGTGAAGCCCTGATCCTGTGTTGAGACATCTGGGTGCTATTGAAAGACTCAATCAGCCTGCATGATTGCTGACACTGGAAAACGGCTTCATACTAACTTACTAATGTCTAGATCAAGGGTGGCCGACCTGAGCCTGAGAAGGAGCCAGAATTTACCAATGTACATTGCCAAAGAGTCACAGTAATATGTCAGCAGCCCCTCATCAGCTCCCTCGCCCCCTCTCCCAGCACCTCCCACCCACCGACAGCCCCACCAATCAGCGCCTCCCCCTCTCTCCCCACACCTCCCAATCAGCTGTTTCGTGGCTTGCAGGAAGCTGTGTGGGAGAGGAGCGAGGGTACTGCAGGCTGAGGGGATGGGGTGGAGTGGGTGCAGGGCCTGTGGCAGAGGCAGGGGTTGAGCAGTGAGCACCCCCCGCACATTGGAAAGTTGGCGCCTGTAGCTCCAGCCCGGGAGTCGGTGACGATACAAGGAGCCGCATATTAACTTCTTAAGAGCCACATGTGGCTCCGGAGCCACAGGTTGGCCACCCCTGATCTAGATCTATCCTAATGATGGATCCAGTAACACCCATGCCATTTCCACTTTGTTTAATCAGAGAAATTGTGTGTGTTAACGTTTAAAATTTGTTTGTTTTCTTGCTTGCTAAAGATAGTTGGTGCTAGAGTGTAACTATGTATTATTCAGGACTTACATGGAAAATAAATGTACACCTTTTTGAAACTACTATTTAGGATGCATACATTTGGGAATGATATGTTACGTTTTATAAAGACGCAGTTATTTGCAAATATGAGACTCAATATCCTGGAATATGCTTTGTTTTTAACTAGCAAGAATCAGTTCAAAGATGTAACTTCAGCATCTGAGTTTGGCTTTGAGTGCAGTATTTATCAAGAAAAGTTACCAAAAAATAGTAGTAGATGTACTGCTCTGAAAAATCACTCTTGGCTTTTCTATCTCCATCTTTCTCTTTCCAGGCTCCATATTTCTAGCATTAGCTTCATGTTGCTAAGAACTTCAACAGGGGACTGATCTGTTAATGTGTAATACCTTTAGAGTAGTGTGAACAAAATACCAAAAAACTAGAGAAGTTAAAATGCCACAATCTAAGGTGTAATTTTGGATAGTTTTTCTTAACTGTTTCTAAAGATAATGTATAACAAGAACTAAATATTGATCATTTCCCTGATTTTATTAAAATCAGATGTTCCAGTTGATACCTTAGACAAACTTGTTTGTGTTCATAAACTTGGTGTATTTGATTTGCAATAGTTGTAATTTGGTGTAATTCTTCTAAGAATATAGAAAAACAGCAAAAGATTCTTTCCATAAAACAAAAACTTTAGCTGACCTATGAGCAGCATGTTTACTGCCATGTCCCCATAGATGGTCAATGATCAATCCACTCAGCATTGCTTGTTGTTGAGGAATGTTGCAGTGACTTACTAGAACAAATGGATATAAACTGGCCATCAGGAAGTTTAGACTTGAAATTAGATGAAGGTTTCTAACCATCAGAGGACTGAAGTTCTGGAACAGCCTTTCAAGGGGTGCAGTGGGGGCAAAAGACATATCTGGCTTCAAGACTAAGCTTGATAAGTTTATGGAGGGGATGGTATGATGGGATAGCCTAATTCTGGCAATTAATTGATCGTTGACTATTAGCGGTAAATATGCCCAATCACCTGTGATGAGATGTTAGATGGGGTGGGATCTGAGTTACTACAGAGAATTCTTTCCTGGGTGTCTGGCTGGTGAGTCTTGCCCATATAGGGTGACCAGACGTCCCGATTTTTGCTTCTTTGTCCTGCGTCTCGACCGATGTTTGGTCAGGACACTGGGCAAAAAAGAAATGTTGCACTCTGCCCCCCCCCCTTCCCTCATTGGCTCCCTCCCCAAATCCCCACCCTGGCCCCACCTCTTCCCCAACCACGCAGCATTCCTCCTCCATTCCAGGCTTGCAGCATGGCGGCGCAAACCTGGGAGGGAGGGGGTGGCGGCGGTGCCTGGATCCTGGAGCTGGTGAGTCAGCTCGGGCACCTGGCGGGCAAAGGGGGGCTGGCAAGAGAGGGAGACGGGGGGCTCAGCTTTGAGCCCCCCGCCGCGACAGAGGGCTCCTGCCCAGGCCGCTGCACCTGGGGCCGGGAGCGCAGCCTGGAGGCTGCTCCAGCCCTGCAGCCCGCGGGGTAGCGTGGTGGGTCCGGGCGGGGGCAGCGTGGAGCGGGCAGGGGCCGGTTGGGCGGCGTGGGCCGAATCCCTGCTGCTGCCAGGGAGCCCTGTGCCTCTCCCTCCCGCTCGCGGCTGCGGCTCCTTCCCGGCAGGATGCGCCCCCTGGCCTGCCCCGGCCACATGCGGAACGCGTCCAGCTGCTCCTTCCCAGCGGGAGGGAGAGTAGGCATGGGGGACGTGCGCTGCATGTGGCCGGGGCGGCGGGAGGTGCGTCCCCCTGGGAAGGAGCCGCAGCCCTGAGCAGGCGGGAGAGGCGTGGGGCTCCCTGGCAGCAGCGGGGATTCGGCCCCTGCCGCCCACCCGGCTCCTTCCCGCTCTGCGCTGCCCCCGCCTGGACCCACCGCGCCCCGCATATGCCTGTGGTGGGCCGGGGGGCGGTAGGCTCCGCGGGGAGGGCAGCGCGCGGGGCCGGGGCCTGCTAATGCCCCCAGCCCCTTTTAAACGCCCTTTTTATTTTTTGCTCCGCCCCCCTTTTTTAGTCCCTCTCCCCCCCCCCCCCCCCCTCCT